TAACATATATACTACATGCATATACATATAACATATATATACTACATACATACAATATATATACTACATATATATAACTACATATATATACTATATATAACTACATATATATATACTATATATAACTACATATATATAAACTACATATATATATATATATATTCTGAAACGAAGGGTTAAAAGTTACTAATATTAAAGTTACTAAAGTTAAATTCTTAACATGTGCACTAACAATTCAACAGAATAAACGGATAAATAAACAAACAAATAATAAACAAATTGGTTCGATGTAGCGGAGTTCGGTGTTTCGATTATTTCAATGTAATGTACGTTCTGAGAAACGTGTCAATGACAGGTGGCGATTGAACTCGTATCGTGTGCTATACGTATGTATGAAATTCTGCCGTAGCGAAAGGGTTAAAACGACCGACCTGTAACTTTCGGGCCGAGGCCTCGGGCTGTTGACGACGTAGTGTCCCATTTTATACGTCCTCCCGTCCTTCTTCACTTCGATCATCTTCTCCGTTTGCCAGAAAGCGAACTCCTTCTCCAGCGTGGGTATAATCGCGCGCAGGTAATCGTAGTCTTTAGCGTACTCCAAGTACCTCGAGACCTGTCGATCGAGATCAATCTTTATAGATTTCGTCCTCCCATGTTACGAAGTTAAGTTCGAGTCGAAATTAATCGACAGCGTATCGGCGAACTAACCTGACCGAAACTTGTAAATATAATATAACTATTAAATTCCTACCCCGTCAGCCGGAATCGAGCAAACTCTGGTACCAGTGCTTATAAACGTCCGATAGTTACGTCCGAGCAAAGTTCCGCGATGTTCTCGATATTCTGGTCATGGGATCCGATATCTTCGGGACAAACAAGCGTAACTGCAATCCGACTACCCCTACCGAAAACGCATTACAGGGTTGGCAATTGAAACCAACCTCTAGAGACCTCTCCTCCTATCCTGTATCGAATTTATCGAGCGTAGTGTATGTGTGTGTGTGTACTATGGAACAAAAGTTTCGAGAAACGAGAGTCACAACAGTCTTGCCAGTCTTTTCCGTCTCAACTTGCTCAGAAGCATTAATATTTAGCTGGTGCAACAATTAATATTCAAAGTCCCTCGGAGAATTGAAACTGTCGGGATTGTCTTCTGAAAACTATGTTGTTCTCTGACATGTCGTTGTATAGTTACAGTTCTGGCAACGTTCTCATTGCACTTGAGACTGACTAGTTTTATGGGTGGAAACTGGATTTAGAAACTT